GGTCGACGTCGTCACGGGTCCCCGGTCCCTCCGTACGGAACGAAGACCGACGACCCGATACCTAACTACATGTGTGTGTGTGTGTGTGTGTGTGTGTGTGTGTGTGTGTGTGTGTGTGTCTGTGAGAGAGGGGTGAGGGGGGACACCAGGGATGTCTTACTACATCCCCTCTTAAAGGGAAGAAGGTGGGGGCCTGTGTGTCTGAGCTATGGAAGAAACAGGCACAGCTTTAAGAACAAAAGAGTGGGACACGGAAGGTCTAGCAGAGGCAGACCTTGAACCCTCCCCAAACTGTCTGGGGAATAGGAAGCATTTGGGGGCTGGTGATTTAGAGGTTGGGAAAAGGTTGGTGGTGAGAGTAACCTTCGTGAGAGTCTCAGTCCTGCCTCTGCGGAAGGGCCCCAACCTCCTCCTCTGGCTCTGACAAGGGGTGGGGGGAATCCCTGGGTGCACCAAAGGCAGGGAGCTCTGGTGGGGGGCGGGGGACGAAGGGGGCAGGAGTGGCATAAGTTGCTACTAGAAACACCTTTGGACAGTGACTACACACACTTACACACAGCAACCCCTCCCCCGTTGACACCATCTCCCTTCATCTCCTCCCCCGAGACATACATACACAACCCCCTCCCTTAGATGGCAGCTAGGAGCTAATGGGGGGGGGGGCGTAGGCCGAGGAAATGAAGAGCCAGCATCACCCAGTGTCTTTTCTTTAGTTTGAGACATGGAGGTTCCCTAGCCACGCCCCATGGCCAACAAAGGTCCCTAAGTGCAGACACAGAAAGACCCAGAAGGGCGCACTCTGTCACTTATCCAGGTGACAGAGACCCCCAGTAGCCCTGCACAGAGCCCCAGCAACATTAGCCCTCTCCTCACCCCCGAAGCCCCCTCCCTCCCACCGACACTCTTTGTCTAGCCCGGGCCTTCTCTTCTGCCCACCTCCTACCAATTTCTGCGCACAAACTAGATACACGGCCTCAGCGTCTCCGACCTGCACCCCGACGCTCCCAGGGGCAACCCAAGACGGGGTGCAAGCAGAGGCGACTTCTGGGAAACCAAGGGGGCAGGGGGGAGGGGCAGTCAATGGCCTGGAGGCGGGGGAGGGGTGGCGATCACAGACACTGATGGAGGCGCGAGGCGGCGGAGCGGCGCGGGGGCTGGCTCTGCAGGGTCCCCGGGTCCCCGGGAGCGGGCGGCAGCGAGGCGGCGGACGACGGGGCCCGCGCCTTGGTGGACTCCAGGCTGCTGAGGCCCGAGTCCTTGTTGTCACTGTGAGCCCGCTGGCCCGCCGGCTCCGGGGGGCCCCCTCCGCCCAGCTCCTTCCACTCGTTGAAGTTGAGGTCGGTCAGCGGGCTCTGCACCACCACCGTGTGCCGGCGCCAGCTGCTCCGGCGCCGCCGCGTTTCGGGCGACAGCGGCCGCCGCAGCCGCACGGCCAGCATG